TCCCTTTAAAAGTAAGATTTTTTCTTTCTTTTTCTTTCATAGGTGTACATGTTCTTTTTTACATGCTCTCAGTTGCCACATGAAAGTTCTTGTTAATATTTTTCCATTCAATGTTTAGAAGAATTAAGAGACCACTAGTGTGACTTCATGCATATCTTTATTCTGAAGGTGTTCTATGAATGCTTTCAAGTGGTAAGAATCATGGTGGGGAGGGGGAAAGAAAATTTATATTAGGTTTGGGTAGGAATTTGTATGGTCTGTCTGCTCAGCTCTGTCAGGACTGAGGTGCTTTTGGAATTACACTGAGAAAAAACTTTCAGCACTTGAGAACCCACTAGGACAAAGAAGCAGAGGCAACAATGATGATTTGGTGTTCTGAGTGTGCTGAGGTAGATGAGCAGGGACTTCTAGAACTATAAATTCTGACATCAGTGTCTTCTGTCTAAGTCATGCTTTAGATGCCGAAATCTTATTTTAAATCAGGATACTAAAGCTAACGTAGGAGTGGTATAAGCTCAAAACAGCAATAGTTCTATATTGCTTGGGTGCAGTGAAGAATAGACTTTTTTTCCCCCCTCCATTTTCTCCCCACCCTTTTCACAAACTTGCAGCCTGTTTCTTGAGAAAAAGTGTGAGTTGGGTTTAAAAAGGCTTTCAGAAAGCCTTTTCAGCTTATTTCTAGAATTTGGCCAGTGTTCAAATGCAATGTATTAATTAACTCATCCTCAAATTAGGTGATTCTTCAGGTCTTTTCATTTACAATAAAAAGTATTTTATCTTTAGAAATTTTAGGAGCACCCTCTTGAGTGCAGTGCACACGGGTGATCCATGGCATGAAGGATGCAGTCCATATGTTGGTGTGTGACTCACAGGGAAGAATGTTCACAGTGCAAGGGAATGCTGTCAGCTTATCCTGCTTTTCTAATTTGAGTTCATTTGCTGTAGTTGCTCTTCTGGAAACATGATCAACTTTAAATTAGTGCTTGAGTCACCTTTAACAGATTTGTATACTTAGCTGAAAGAAAGCAAAACCCCATGACATTTTTCACTTTGCTCTGTTGCAGTAATCTGTCTTGGTTGGAGCATAAGACTGAGCCTGTAGATGTTAACTGTGGTTTTTTCTGTATGTGTACAGAGGTAGTTAGGATGGGAGCACAGTCTGTCAGAAATCAGTTTGCATTTGTCAGAAATCAGTTTGCATTATTCCAAACTTTACTAGTTCCGGAACAAATACAAAGTGCCTTTTTGAGACGTGTCATCAGGAGCAGACGTTAATGAGTCCAGACAATCAGTATGCTGCAGGACCTGCCGACCATGTCATGCTCATTCCCCATAACTATAGGGAATGGGCTTGTCCAAGCATGCACAGATAATGTTGTCTGTGTGGTCTTTGAAAGTGCATCTGTATGATTCTGAAGGTCCTTACCAGCTCTGGGCACTGTGGAGGTGAGAATTGTTGTCTTAGGAAATGCTGGGGGTGTGCAGAAGCTTTTGATATTGACTCCTTTGTTTGTTAGAAAGGATCTGTACCTTTGAATTCTAACTAAGGGCTGACTGCCTCCAGACAGGAAGAAATTGGCTTCCAAGTGTTCGTCTAGGGATTCTCCCTGCCTCACAGCTCTTCTTGTGTGTTCTTCAATCCACTTTAAAACAGCATTAGGAATTTTCATTCATACCAGCACAAACACATGTTCACTGAAGACAGTGGAGGCCCTGCACGGGTGCTACCTGCTGCCTTTACAGTTATCATCCAAAGTAACCACACAGCACTTGAGGATGAGGTTCTCTGTAAGTCATAGTTATTTTTTTGTCAAGCTGCTCCCAAACAAAGGGAAGATATGATGAGCAAGGATGGTTGTCTATGCTGAAGTTAAAAAATTCTGACCAATAATGAGTGAAACAAACTGCATGTTATATCCCGAGCAACAGCCAACTAAATCACCCCTGATTATTCCTGACATCAGCCTCTGGGATACCCTCTTTCCTCCTGAACTTTGTGCTCTGTGAAGAATTTACAAAATAAAAAAATTGCCAACTGCTATTCAAATGATAAGTGGTGCATGCTAATTACATTTTATATGGTGATTAATTAAAAATAACCATGCAAATGTGTAATTTAAGAGTCACTCAACTCACTAAGTCTTCAGACACTGCCTAGCTGCCCTAGGCATTTGGTGGTTAGGCATTTATTCAAGCTTTCAAAATATTCTCAAAAAGTCCAAGATAATGAAGGTTCTTGAAAAAGTTCCAGCTAGCTTGGAATATATAAACAGAGGTTTCAGAACAGTAAAATAGCACTGCATACATTTGCATTTTTGAGCCAAAGTACTCTGTGTATACATAAAAATAGACCAGGAAAGGAATAACAGAGATTCTAAATAATCTGAATATTTAGCTGCAGTGCATAGCAGATTAGTTCATAGATTATTTCAGGACCTGAAGAAAATTAAATATAATCTTACTTAAATCTAACTTCTTTACATAGTAGGTCTTTGATTCACACATAGACTATTTGGCCATTTGCCTTATTCACAAATATATGTAGGTGTATCAGGAGACCTACGTCATAACTGTAACTTGGTTCACATATAGTGAACTTTAATCAGTGGAGTATGCAATTTACAGAACAGATTACAATGGCCTAGCATATAGGAGAATAAAATATACAATGTGATGAACATTTTCAGAAAGTAATGAATTAAAATCTGCAGAAGAATAATTTACGATCTTTGCTAATAGAAAAATAATGTTAATGCCTTTTTTTTTGTAGAATTTTTACTGAATTTGATAAATAGATAACAAAAACAAATAAACAAAAAGAATTTGTCCGAGAAAACTCCTTCTCTTGATTGCATGTTTCTGCTTATGTGGAAAATGGTACTGCAATGAATATTGATAAAATTCTACCTAGACAAAATACTTGCTGTTTCTGTATGATGCAAGAGAATTTATGTTGTTCCACAGTATCAGACTCTCAAAACTAACCTTTTAAAATTCATCCACAGAGATGAATGAGTTTTAGTTTATTACAAATGATTTTAAAAGCATAATCTGCACTGGGTCAGCTTCACTACAGTAAAGGAATAATCGATACAGCCATCTTGAAGAAAAGAATGATGGTGCAAAGGCATTAGCCATGCCATTCTGGACCAGTTGGGAACTGTTTCACCTCTGAAACTTTTTCAGTAAACTCTATGTATACAACAAGTTTAACTGCGGGAATATTCTGGTATTTAACCACAGAAAATTTAGATCTATAAATGCAGAATACACTTATTTTTCCATGCATTAGGGATGTTTCACTTGCTTTCTAAATATTAAAAAAATATTCTTCATATATTGAAAATACATATAAATATAAAGTACATATACAATACTTTTCAAAAATAGCAGATACTTTTTTCTGGGACTGTTTACAGAAGGCTAAAAATGGAGTCATAAACTTCTGTGTCTGCAGACATTCCTACCTGAAAACACTTCACAAGCAGAAAAGAAAAATTAATTAGTTGCAGTAATAATTATGAAGTATTTCTCAGATTTTATAAATAGCAGTATTTTTTGCCACATAAAGTGAAACACAATAGCTGAGATTATATAATGACACTTTCTGTTATTCTCTAAAATGAGTCTCACACACAGAATAAATATTTTACTTTTGAATGTTTAAATAGAGTTTACTGTTTAAACACTTCACATAGCAGCTACACAGAATCATGAATAATAAAGATGGAAAAGACATAATGGGATTTTTTTTTTACTTATATTTTGTTCATACAAACAGGTTACCTGTTTCATAAAAAAAAAAAATATTTTTTTTCTTTTTTACTTCTGAATGATTCTACTATTTCAAGTGATGCAATTCAGGCTACTTCCTACTGGCAACATCCACTGTAGGTGCATTGACACTGAAAGCATGTGTCTACCAAATTCCCTCTTTGTGTGTCCAGAAATTATGGTTGGTGTCACTATTCTGATAGTGTCCACAAATTAAAACAGGTTTTTTAGTTTATTGATGACCTGCCAGTGGAGGTGTCTAGTGTAGTTTGAGACTTTACTACAAGATACATCAAATGCTGTACTAATTACAGGGAAGTATTTGATAAGCTCTGTCATCTCACAGTGTTCTCTAGTTTCATACAAAGTTACTTCATTGAGCTAAGGTTCTGGGTTTTTATAAGGAGTACATTTAATCTGTAAATTCTTTAACTTTGGATGAGGTTTATAGCATGTGTATAGCTTTTCCAGATTTGCAAATACAGCTCGGACCCAGTTTTTGGACTCTTAATGATCAAAACCTCTGTTTTTTGAAGTGGTTATTTTTTTCTGATAGAAATTAGCTATATAAAATACCCTGAATCTCACCCATAGCCCAATAATTAAAAGTGATATCTTGTTTCTCCAGAATGTTTGAATTAGTTTCTAATTTAGAAAACTTTTTAAAACTTCCATAGAATAATAAAATACCTGATGGAAAATACATACATACCTTCAGCAAAATATTCTATTGCTTTCCCATGTTTTGATTAAATTCCCCACTCTGAAAGTGTCCCAGATTAGTTACATCATAATGTTAGTCAGAATCAGTTATGATCTCAGATGAAAATCAGTGACCATCGGTGGAATATCTGCCGTATGTAAACCAGAATATTTCTATAATTTCTCTTTCCATTTCTCGTGTATTTTTGGACAGTCATGGGATGTTTTATTGCTACAGTATCATAAGTATGCTTAATTCCACTTGCTATCTGACAGATTGACTGTCAGCATGGAAATCATTTCCTGGGAAACTTGAAAAGTCAACCGAACCATTGCTGAGAACCAACACAGTAAGGAATAGAGTTGCTGTTTTCAGCATAGCACTATGGATTTGACACTAATAAGGCCTGTTTCACATTGGTCAGCAATACAAGAGATCTGGCTAGGACCACTAAGCAGTCAGTGACTCAAAAGCATCAGTGTATCGTTTTCCAACTGCGCTCTTTTTGTTGAGACCGTGACAAAAGACAAGACTCAGACTCCTCTGAGCCTCCTGCCTATATGGTTCAGAAGTCCACAGCTTCCCTCTGTCATTCTGCTAGAGCCTGCTAGCTCCTGTTTCCACCCCATCCTGGCAGGCCCTACAGGTATGGTTCCACCTCGGGCTCTGTGTGGGCAAACATAGGCAGCCAATCTGCGAAAGAAAGATTGCACTGGGCAGATGTGAACTCCACTTGTCTCGGACACTGTCTCCTGTGTGTACACAACAGCTACATTTAGCCTGCAGAACAGTGTGATTCAACCAAGTTGATAATTCTGATGAGCCCTAAATAATGGTGTTAATCAAACCACTGTTTCAATTGCCTGTGACTGATCTTTTTTCTTCCTTTTCTTTTTTTCTTGGCAAATTTTTAAAATTTGAGCAAAATGAGAAGCTGTCTAATAGGATGTCTCATTGACCTTGTTCTCCCTTTTCTTTCAGAGTATACAAATGTTACATAACCGATAACATATAAAGAATACAAACAAAACAGGTGTTTATATTTCAGAGCAGTAATGACAACTCTACCTCTTTGTAGTTCTTTTTTCCCATACTTTATCCTCTGAATCAGTTTGAAAGAATTTTTATGGATAAACTGAATATAAAAAATTCTGCAGAGAAAAATATCTAAACATTTTGTAAGCTCATTTGCCCTTTTCACAGACCCTGTTACCATAACAACTTGAACTGTTGCTATAGTAATATTCTTTTATTATGAAACACATTATTTTTTGTAGGTAAGATATTTTCATAAGCATCTTGACCTTCAAAATTAAAATAATCTAAAATATTTTCTGGAAAGTGTTTTATAGGACAATATATGCAAGGGATAATTTTGGGAAAAAATAGGAAGAGGTGTTTGATTTTCCTTGGAAAAAAATCAAAAAGGTTCTCCTAAGAATTAAACAAAATTTTACATACTTATATTGTAAAGCTCTTTACTATCCCCTACAATTCTTCTCTCTCTTAATTTTTTGCCTGATGAAAAGAAGAAAAAATAAAGATCTTTTTAAAAGCTTATTTTTGCTTCTCACACGTTTCTCTTCTCACATATAAGGTGATATTTACTTAAAAGCTGGTAATTCATTTTTATATATGTAAGAACATAAGGATCAAAAAAACCCCCAATAAAAAACAAGTGTTTAGGAAATGTCTTCAATTAAAAAAAAAACTATGGTAAAATAGTAATATATCAATATAATAGATTTAAATATTAGAATATATATTATTTCATATCATATTTAATTTATAAATAATAGCAATTTTCCTTTTCTTATGCACTTGCTATAGATTATGAGAGAAATATCTAAATTTTCTAGATCCAAAAATGTGTTGTATTGTTTTTCTATCAGCTTCTGTTTATTTCTCCCATTGTATTTTCCTAGTTTTTATCCCTTTGTGAAATTTTGTCTTGCTTTTGCTGTATAATGAGAAGCTGTTCCTGGCTCTTACTCTAGGTCTCCAAGGATAGAAGACTGTATTCTAAAGAGAGACTTAGCAAATAAATCAAAGCAGTTAAAAGTTAGGTTCTCTAGAGTAAGTTGTTTTTTTTAGAAAACAAACAAAAATTTTAAAAAACCCATCTGAAACAATACAACTAAAGTTTTCAGAGGGATGCTATTTTTAAGCAAGGTATTTTGAAGAATTTAGATATAAACTCTATCAGAATTCTAATGTTGGTTAAAAAGAAAATTGGATTAGGAGGTTGCTTATGCAAATTAAGTATTTTAATTTCATTGGATCTGATTTTATTTCTGATATCTATTTTAGACTCATCTTTTCCCCTCAGGTGTATCCTGCTTGAGGGCCACTTATTTTGAAAATGGTGAGAGGTGAGAAATGTGAACTGCTCATGTTCCCCCATTTTGTAAGTGACCCTTTAATGTGTAGGCTCTGTGCAAGAGGGCATCGTCATTGATCTGATAACAAGTGATTGCTACCAATTCTTTCCGTTAGTCTCATCCTTTAAAACATGATGAAATTTAAGACCATTGAATAGAGGCCTTTGGAGTATTTACTGGAAGAATGTGTTTTCTGGCTCTTAAACAAACTGAACATAAGTGCTGAGCAGTGTAATTTTTTATTTTTTTTTTCAGAACCAGGACATATGCAAGAAATTTTAAGATCAAAAACTTCTTTAGAAGATAGTGAAATTAAACTGTGTTATAAGATGGAATCTGAGAAAATTTTGATGATTGCAATTTTGTACTCAGACTGTTGTAAAACTCCAGCCAAGTCCTGATTCCAGTGTCTTCCTTCCTAGTGTTAGTGATTACAACTCCAGAAACGTTATGTGTTAGTACATTTTGTCTGTGACATGTAGAGACTGTAAGATATCTTTGTTCTGATGTAAATAGTGTTCAACAAGTACAGTATCTCAATATTGAAGTTTTCTGAACATCTCTTTTAGATAATGGTGTTTTGGTGGAGCCAAACTTATATCCTCCATAATGAAGCTGCTGAGCTGGTTAACTTATGTCTTGTTCATATGCAACTTTTTTTGTTGGATTTTGTGTAGAAGAACTGCAGTCATTCATCAGACATTCTTTATCTGAGCAATTTTCCACTTCTCTAATTACGAATGTATTGAGCTATGCATATGTAACAATGCTAAGAATGCTGGAGGGCATCTTTGAATTCATTTTAATACCATAATTGCAAAATCTACAGGAGTGTTCATATTCTATAAAGAAAACCTACAATGCACACGTTATGAAGGACTTCCAAATTATATTGTTATTTTCTGTTCACGTATTTGGCACTTTTTTATTATTTCTTCATACTGTACAGCCTTTTAAAAATTTTTCATACTTTCAGCAATTGTGCTGATAAAACACCAAAAGGACTTCCACTACTGTCTTTCACTATTTTTCATTTTTATCTTACCATCATTATCTCATTACTCATTACTCTCTAGTCTGACACTATGTAATAGGTCTTTAGGATGGAGTGTTAGCTCTCAAGCAGGCATGAGACCATTGTCATAGTATTTATCTCTATCAGAGTATGTCTACTGTATAGACACTGACAATATGTATGCATAACACATTATTAGTTATATATATATATGTATAAATTCATAGTGGGCATAACACCCAATGTCTACATAATGTTCTGTTTCTATATAACATCATAGATAAACTGCTGGAGTGGTCTGTTCAGCCTGGAGAAGAGGAGACTGAGGGGAGACCTCATCGAACTCTACAATTTCCTCTTGAGGGGAAGAAGAGGAGAGGCAGGCACTGATCTCTTCTCTGTGTTAACCAGCAACAGAACCCAAGGGAATGGCCTGAAGTTGTGTCAGGGCAGGTTTAGGCTGGATATCAGAAAAAGGGTCTTCACCCAGAAGGTGGCTGGGTACTGGAACAGGCTCCCCAGGGAAGTGGTCACAGCACCAAGCCTGACAGAGATCAAGTGTTTGGATGATACGCTCAGGCTCATGGTGTGACTCTTGGGGATGGTCCTGTGCAGGGCTAAGGGCTGGACTCGATGATCCCTGTGGGTCCTTCCAACTCAGCATATTCTGTGATTCTGTGAAATTTGTGGTCGCAATATAGACATGGTTAACTGATAGATCTTTGTTTAAATAATATGAAAATTTATCTTTTACATGGTGAGTATACATATGAGTTACATGTGAGCAAAAGCTCAACAAAGGTTACTCTACTAGGTTTTCTCATAAGTTGTTGTAAGAAAACTATTAAGTCTTTGGGTTTACTTTTTACATTAGGATTATACTACATTCAACAAGGCTTTAAGTAATGTTTATCTGTTAGATCTTTTTCTGCCATGAAAGATCTAACATGACCAGGATCCAACATGAAAGATCTAACATGACCAGGATCATATTCAGTGTCAGTTACCCATATCTGGAAATATTAAATTGTTGTTATTGGAAATAATGACGGTGTTCTTACAATAACAAAAATTAATTTGCGTGATAAATTATGGGAAAAATCAAGTCACCTCTATAAGATCAAACTCTGATACTAACATGGGGTCTGTATGTTTTACTTCCAAATATGTCTTGCGCACAACTTGTTGGAATACAAAATTGTGCTTACAATGCTGTAGGGGAAAATTTGGGTGCAGGAGTGAAAAAGCACTCCTACTTGCAGGAGCCAGGCATAGATACAACTAACCCAAGCTTGCCACTGTATATTTCTTCTCTCCCTGTAGCAATATCGTGATCAATGTCATGCAGAAAATCTGAAGCAGTGGGAGGGTTCCAGTACTGTGTTTGCAAAAGGTGGTAAGATCCATAAGTCAGGCCGTGCTCAGGTTGGAGCAATGTGGCTGCACTGTATAAAACTAGATGTCATTCACCTACTAATACAGATGCCTGGAGCAGGGCTTAAGGCAAATGCTATGCTGTAACCTGCTCTTTAACATACATAACTCGTAAAATTTAATGTTAGAGAGGCCAGGAAAACAGGGGACTGAGGGCTTAATAAGTGGATAAAGTAGATTGACTTGATTTTGTGTTCTGTTGTCTACTTATCCCCTTAAAAAAGTTTGCACAGAAGGAATCTTGTGGGTTCCCCTTTTCCCATATCTTTTTTTTTTGCACTAGAGATATCGTAGTAATGCTGTTTGCAAGTCTATGCTGTCCTTTGCATCTGAAATACTAAAAATGCTAATTAATGATCTTTCTTTGCAGTCCCACCTTCCTCTGAATTTCTAAGCGTTCTGTAACCCTGCCAGAAGAGTCATGCCGTACTTGTCAAATAGGTGCATTAAGAATTAGCTTGTATTTTCAGGGTCAGTTGGGAGAACTCTTTTTTTTTCTTCTTTATATTATGCACTTTCTAAATATAGTCAAGCAATTTTTGGGGTCTTGTTTTTCTCTCTTGTCATGCCCATTCACAGGCTTGAATGAAAAACCTACTTATTAGTAAGACTGTACAATTAGCTCCTCACTACATTCTTTTAAGTGTGAAGGGAAATATATGCAATCATGTTGAGCTCTATAGTTCATCATATGATTTTTCTATAAATAAAACCAAGTGGTTACTCCTACAATGAGTTCCAAATTTCAAGTTCCAAAAATGATGTTTTATCTTTCAGGGCTAGTGGAACTAGAGATCCAGAACACTAAATTTAGTACCATAAAATTCCACTGAGACTTCTGAATTTAAAACTACAGTTCATTGCTGTTTGAACCTTGGTATCAGGATGAGTAGTGTGAAGGCAGTAGCTGATTCTACACTCCTCAGAAAGACCTACCACTCATACAGGTGGTCTCTGGAAGAGAAGAAAATGTCCCATGACATTAGAAAATATTACAATTGTGAGGGTCTTGGGGCTCTGGTGACTAAACCACATATGTGTCCTGATTTCATCTACAAAAAACTTAATTTTCTTTCTAGTAGCTAGTATGGTACTATGTTTTAGATTTATTTTTACATTGTTGCATTGAAATGACAATGATGACACTACATAATTCACTAGTCAAGGTACTATGAGATTCATCTTTTCATAGAATGGTTTGGATTTAGCCCCCACCATGGGCAGGGACACCTTCCACTAGAACAGGTTGCTCAAAGCCCCATGTAACCTGGCCTTAAACACTTCCAGGGATGGAGCATCCACAGCTTCTCTGGGCAAGTGATTCCAGAGCCTCACTACCCTCACAATAAAGAATTTCTTCCTAATATCTACTCTCAGTTTAAAGCCGTTCTCCCCCCATCCTATCCCTACATGCCCTTGTAAAAAGTCCCTTTTCAGCTCTCTTCTCCAGGTTGAACAACACAAATTCTCTCAGCCTGACTTCACAGAAGAGGTGCTCCTACCCTCCTTTTCTCCTGTCCTTAAAAATATCATCCTTGAATACTAGATTAAATTACACTCTAATTCTACTTTCGTGTATTCCCCAATCAATTCAAATAAATTTAGCTAACTCAAGTTACACTTTCTTACACCAATATTAATTAGTGCACAATGTGGTCAAGTTTATCACTTTTGACAATGAAGCAGTGTATCTACATTATGTGGTATTCTATTAACTTACTAAAAATTTTTTGTTTATTCGATGTCTATCCAGGCTTAGGCACCTTAAAACAAAATAACACTTTAAGAATCCCCTTGCTGAATTTAAGAAATTCAGTTTCCCACGTAATAATGCCCATTGGTGGCTAACTAAAGATTATCTGAAGCTAAAATGATGGAGGAGAACTGCTAAATCCTTAATGGCTACATAGAAAACCTTCAGCCATTCAAAGCAAGCCTTTAAGAGGCTAATCTCAAACAGCATGAGCTTGCCATTGATTTCTGGGGGCAGAGGATATTTGGAAAAGGTGAATAGTCTTAAAATACTTGTTAAGAATCAGAGATAAATTAGATTTTTAGGGATGCCTTAGAGGTGGAATCACTGTGAGAAGGGAATCGGATGAAAGTTGCCTTTGTAGTATTGACATACAAGGAAGAATTCACAAAAATAAAATATTCTTGAATAATTTTGAAGACATTTGAATAATACTAAATTGGAAAGAGAAGCATAACAGAAAGAATTTGATGCAAATAAACTCCCCATTTCTCATGACTCTCACATCCTTGATTCCTAATGATTCCTAGCACAATAAAATATAATGAGTAAGTAATGACAGCTCAATTTCATGCTCTTCAACAGTAGTAGCTGGGTCGTGCTCACAAATGAGAAAACTTGAAGCCCAAATCATTCCAAAATTCCCCTGCAACAGTGATTGTGCATTTGTATTACTCTTCATGTTTTCTGTTAAGAGCCAACAAACCATTCAGTGCCTTCTGAAGCACAAGTGTTATTTTTAAAAGATTAATGGTTCTGCAGAGCAGTAACATATATAATTAGGAAGCCTGTATTCCTATTTTTAACCTGATTCAGTACCCTAGACTTGAAAGAAATGTAGAATTTCACATTCTAATTGAGTTCTGTCAAAATATGAACCAAAAGCAATTTAGTTATATAGCCCACAAGAAAGTAGAATGAAAGCAAGACCAAAATTAGCTTGATCTAGTTAGAATCTTTTTATCAGATAAGACAGGGGTGAAATTATGAAGAACAGTGATATAATTGTTGAATCTGGAAAAATTAGGAACAGTATCACAAATGGAAGGCTATGGCTAATGGCAGTGTTTATGGTAGATACTTGAAAGGTAATGGAGCCTGCAGTGGTTAGCATGGCAATAAGCTAAAGCTAAGACATTATAGTCAAAATAGTATGTAACTGTAACCAGCAGGTAACCATAAATTCTAAGATTACTGCACAGGATGTTTAGAGCTGTCTGAATAGCTGTTTCTTGATTAACCGAAAAAAATACAAAACACAAACACACCAGACCATCAAGGGCAATCACAACTGTTCTTTATGTTTGCATTTTCTTGGATTAGTGCGGGAGATGGGTTTTATTTCCCTATTAATGTTTTAATTTTTCCCTACTAACGCTATGTCTATATCTAAATTGGCCCTGACTGTGTCTGAAACCAGGAATTGAACAGGAATACAAATATGGTGTGTTGCGGTATGCAGAACTTTAGCATACCTCATCCAAGAGATGTTGTTGAAATATTGATTGTAACAACTTGTCATAAAACTTGTGTTAATCTTTTTTCTTTTACTAGTTATTAATCTCTGAGAGTATTTTAATGATTAAAAAGTAATTCTAACATTGTGAAAAATATTTAGTTCATGTAATGTATTTCAGAGTAGCATATGTATGTAGGCAAAAAGAGGGGGGAAAGCATCCTGTGGAAAAACAGGATGCAGCAAATAAAACAGAGATCTCATGGGAGATCAAGTACTCTAGAAAATTGTAGGGACTAGAAATTTGGGGTTGCAGAGAAAATGCTTAGCTTGTTCCAGAAATTCCAAGGGAAACTAGCATCTTTCTAAGTCATAATTCTTTAATTATGTATCTTGAGTAAACTGCCAAGAAATGCAAAATAGTATGCTATGAACTAATGTAAAGATATCAGAAAGATATTAAAAAGAAAATTCCTTTTGAAAAAGGTTTTCCTACTTTTTATGGGTTGAATTATGATCTTGAAAACGTAGGTGGTTCCTTTACCCTCTACTCAGCACTGGTAAGGCATGTCTAGAGTGCTGTGTCTAGGTCTGGCCTCCTCACTAGAAGGAAGACATGGACATACTGAAGCCAGTCCAGCAAAGGACATGAAGAGGATTAAAGGCTTGGAGCATGTTTCATATGAGGAAAATCTGAGGGAGCTGGGACTGTTCAGCCCAAAGAAAAGAAATCTTAGGCTTATCCCTGTGTAAAAATACCTGATGGCAGGAAGGGGA